ACCACCCTGTGTCTTTTAGAAAAGAGTACATAATATAAAAACTCTGATTACATAGTTAATATTTATTTAATTAACAAGACATTTTATATACTAAACTATGTATGAATACTTAATACAGAAATGCATAATATTATCATAGGTATATGATACATTTGGTAAAAAATTAGTTTTTATTAATAATTTTAATTAGGTACACGGGTATTTGATTAATATAATATAGGTATGTTTAAGAATTTAATATTTATTACTACTTCGAATTTTTCAGTCGAAAAAATTTTCACAGCACCGTGGTTAGACCCATCTGTACGAACTCCAATAAATGAAATATTGTTATCATTAATGATTTTTAAAACTTCTGTTAATCAATGTGGGGCTAAGACATTATTAACAATAGCTTCAGTTTTAGTTCTAGCCATATCTTAGTTCATGGTTCTAGCTGAAGAAATTTTAGATGCTATCTCTGAATCGCAAAACATAAGACGATATAATTTAGTGGAACAATCACAAGATTTATAGCTATGGCGATGTCTTACCGTATGAAAGGCAAGTGTGGCTTCAACTGCTAATATTTTTGCTTCAATTTTTGTATTCTGTGTTACAAAAAACGTAATCACAGATTTTGAACCACTAGTTGATTGAATATTTTTTGAATGTTTAGACGAAGACAAATGTTATATTAAATCAGCTTTGCCTTTATTGGCCAATGAAACAATTATACAACAAATTTTACAAAAAGCCTCGTGTTCATTTTCTGTTTTTTTAAACATTGGGTATTCTTTTATTAATTTATCATGAAATTTACATTTTCGGAGAGACATTTTTGATGAACACAATTTACGAATAGTAGCTTGATGCATAAGCGTGAAATTAACGAACTAAACTATATGGTTGTAACTATAGTACATAGTACTATAGTAGCAAATACTAACACACTAACACAGACTAATTCCAATTTTCAAACATCGATCATAATGTGACATATACTATATATACCGTAATACCGTAGACATTTCGGAGAAAAATGTCGATAACATCGATAACGTCCGTGCCGAATAAATTTATGTTATTACTTTATTAGATTAGCTTATAAATTTATTACGACTTGTGGCATTTCAGTATTTTCGGAATTAAATAGAAATAGAAAAAAAGAGTACATTGTTGCCAATATAAAAAAAGTGAGAGAACAAAAATTTTAAGAGCTTATAAGAGTACATGTACTCTTAAAAGAGTACTAATGTCTAATGGTAACCCTATCTCTACCAGTCTACCGTGATCTATTCATTTTAAACCATCCTACTATCCTAGTCCGTCGGGTAGGCCTATCCGTTCTTCTCACGATTTAAGATAGTACTATCTTAAATCGTGGTTCTTCTATTATTTGTGGCATAGATGATACACGTTTATTATCTATATTTTACAACACCTGAGCTTTCTGGCCGGTCAGATTTCCCGATTTTGATAGCGGTAGTGATAAGCTTTTAGCTGAAATGATAAGAGTGGTTTTTTTCGCTTATCAAAAACGGGGAGATTTTTTAATTTATAACTACCATTTAAATGCTAAAAGCACGGCTATAGATACTATGGTTGCACGACGATGAAAATTTTTTGACCGTGCAATGTTCTTATCAAAAACCTCGTGACTGCTAGCGCTTTCAGCGGAACTTGTAGTCTACCTAATCAATCAACTCGGTTCACCTTCACTTCACTTGAATGAGTTGAATTACTAATCTCAATTCTCAATTCTTTTAACGATTCTCAATTACCTATAATATACCTATATATACCTATAATTATGGCTATATAGTATATAGTTCCACCGAGGCACTAAATCATATTAAATCATAGCTCTCGCAAAGTTTCATATGAATATCATTATACTATAAGATACAATATGCATAAGTCATTTTTCGTAGAATTGTAAATTAATTTGTGTCAATTCTGAATTATTTGAAATTAACTGTGGAACACTAGTCAAAGTCATGTGAGTTGCCGATTTGGCTCACTCTGATTTAACTCATTCAGCTCATCTTTGATATTCAACTCTTTGAATCAAATAGTTCATGAACTACACACCTCTATGCAAATTGCAACGTACTCTGGAATTGTGCACTGGAACTGTGCAGTGTGCTGGGTGCGGGTGCCCACACATACTACATTGTACATAGTACATAATATGACTTATAGCAGGACACAGAGATTATAAAGTTATTGATTTTGTGATTAGTAATAACAGTTAATAGGTAGGTAATTATTAATATTTTGTATTTAATAAAACAACTATTATTATACACCTATATAATATTTAATAGTAATTAGACTGCATTAAATATTAATATTCACACAAAATAGGTTAAATGTAATCAAATAAATGTATATTATAATAGGTACATAATATATAAATATATTTATGTATGAACCAACTTTTATTTGAAAAAAAACCCGGGATTTGAAAAATAATATGACAACTTAATGGTACACCACAAATTCCGCTAAAAGCGCTAGTAATCTAGAGGTTTTTGATAAGAACATATAACGCCGTTTTCTTCTGCAACACGCTATATGCCGTCGCGCAACCATTCATATCTATAGCCGTG